TAGTTAGCCACCTCAGCCCTCCCCCCCGGCTCCCTGGCAGAGCTGTCTGGAAAAAGCAGCAGGGCGCGAGGGATTGTATTTATCTATCTGTCTGTTTATTTATTCGTTTTGAAGGGGTTTTGTGGCGAACACGGACGAGCTGTTGCTAGCTGGAGGCTGGGGCCACCTGGAGGCTTCTGCCATGGCGGAGCCTCACGGGTCTGGGCTGTCCGCGTGTGCTTGAGGCTCCGAGGGAGGTAAATAGACCTAATAGAAGTGCATATGCATACATACACGCATCCATCCATATATAATCTGTATAAAAGGAATCTGTAAAAATAAATGTGAAGCTAATTGATGTGAAATGCGGAGCTGATTCAGTCTTGCATCACGGCTTTTTAAGCAGGACACGGTAGCTGTAGGGTTGTCACCCTGGCTTAGAAGGTGTGCCAGTAGGTGTAATGCACGAAGCTAATAAAGCACTAAACAGGAGTTGGGCCTGAGGTGGGGTAGTAGTAAGTAGTAAGTAAGTAGTAAGTAGTAGAATGGTGGGCTCCAGTCATGAGGGTGAGGAAGGGCCTCTGTTAGCATATTGCTGTGAAAGGAAAGGACAGAAATGGCCATAGGGGTTAGGGGATAGGGGAGAGAGCTATGGAAGGAAGCCTGATGATGGCCTGACCCAAATACTAGCCAGGACTACCCTGTCAATGCAAGGCATTTTGCAGTCCCTCAGGTGCTGCAGTGGAGGATTGTCCCCTCAGGGCAGGAGAGGAGGACAGGCAAAGCTGTGCTGCAGGCCCTGAGGTGTGCCGTGTGATGGGGAGCGGATCTGTGTCCCTCCCAGCTGCAGGGGGAGCTTCAGGCTTTGGTATTCTCTCAGCTTGCAAGCAAGCATCCCCTGCTCTGCAGGGCAGGGAGTAACTCTGCCTAGGGTGAGCAGAGTCTGCCAAAGAAGAGGATGGTTTGGGATTTGTTATGTCTGATGAAGAAGAGAAAAGGGTGGTCGGCTTTAAACGTTGCGGTCGCTGCATTTGTTCTCGTCACCAGGACGCCTGCGGTGGCAGCTGCTGCCTCAGTACCTTCCTCATTGACCTCCACAAAAGCTTTGTGAAAAACTTCTGAGATGAAAAGATCCTTCTTCATTGATATCCCTGTGAAATCAGCCTGAGCTGGGTTAAAAGCATCTCGTATTCCCATGCTGCTCAAAGTAGACTTAAGGTCATAATTCTCTTCCAGCTTCAACTTGGGCAGGTACAGTTCCACTTCAGCTTTTATCATATGGACTGGTCTGGTCCATTCAACCAGTTTCTCATAGGTCAGCTCTCTTTCCAGCTACAATGAGTTGAGAAAGAAAACAGTTGGAATGAAAAGGACAAAGACAAGACATGCACAGACCAAAGCTCAGCTTCCAGTTGTGGGTACTGCTGGGATGTGCTCTATGTTCATAGGACAGGGTCCTGCAGAGTTCTGAGTGCCTCATGGTTCTGTTTATTTCCTTAAAGGTGGTGAAGTATAGGCCCGAAGCCTCAGAACAATTTATTGTAGTTTCTAGCATGAAGAGTATTGTTTTTTTAAAATGTGACTCACCGACATTAGCAGGAGCCCGATGTGTTTGTACATGGGAGAGAGGTGGTAAATAAGTGGAATGCATGGATCTCAGGTACAAACAAAAGGATATTTGTCCTGATACGTTTAGCTTCTGAAACTGATCTTGGCATGGTCGTGAGTGGACCTTGTACACATTCTGGGTCAGGGTAGTTAGCAACGTTTGAGAAACCTCGCCCCAAAACGTCAGGTGCAAATCTAGATTTCAGATGACATAGAAATGAATTAATACAGCTCTCAGAAGATTGACTGTAGGGGCTGGGGATTCAGATTTGGTCCCTGCTTTGTTTGTTGTGTTACTCTGGCCATAGAAAAGAGGACACAAATTAGGCTAAGACAGCAGTTCGGACTGTTTTTTTAGGTATACCTCCAAGTAGAATATTATGTTTTCATCATTACCAAATGCTCTGAATTCTAGGCTAAGAAGTTGTGGTAGTATAGTTGACAAAGTATGCGCGCATCAAAACTGCTTCACCCATGATTTTGAAGCTTGTGCTTCCTCATTCTTTCTGTCTATGTTTGTTACTGTCTCTTAATGTTGTATATGATGCAACAGTAGGTCAGTTTTACCAGCTCCAGACCAGTAGTGTTATCACTGATGTCATCTGGTAGGAGAACGAACATGCTGAGTTCATTTTTCACATATGGCAGCTCAATGATTTTGAATTTTAAGGTTGTTACATGCAGCATCAAAAATGTCCCTCTCAGAAACATCATCTGTACTGGTTTAGTCTTGGTCTGTGAAACAGTTCAAATATAAACAATTAAACAAATAGCACTACTTCATGCCTTAAAAAGAATGACAAAGATTACTTGTTTGACTGAACTGACAGCAACAATTTGTAAACAAAAGACGCAGCATCATCTGCAGGCTATTCCAGTGCCCTTTCCTTCGGGCAGTATTGAGTCTACAGGGATTTCAACGTCACTGAGATCTTTTACAAAAAGGCAGCATAGACACATAGGCTATACGCATGCTAACTGAATCACATGTAACACAATTCTCATTCTAAAATAAAAGAGTTAGCTTTGATAAGCAAATAACCATTATGTATGTTTCATTTTTTCCCCCAAAGTTTCTTTTGGTAGTGAGAGTGTTGGTCAGGAGAAAAATGTTGACTTTCTTCCCCTGTATGCCATCAATGCTTTGTATGATTTATACTCCTAGGCAGTAGTGATTGTCTTGCTTGGTCTCTGAACCATGTTTTCTGTGACCTGTGCTGGCTTTTCCACTCCCTCCAGTGACTGAGGGTTTTCTTATGGGCTTGGATTGCCTAATAGTCTTTTAAACTCCTACGCTGTATATGTTCACAGAGCTTTTACTAATATGTCCACTATATCCTTTCACTGTTATATTTGAGTGTGAAGGTTCGTTTGATTACGGGGTTTGCTATCAGTTAAACCTGTGATTTAAACCCTATCTGTGAACTGTTTAGCATATGGATCCTAAAACTGCTAAGTAATGCAGTAGGTTTCAGATGCACAATTGCAGTATCAGCCCAGGTGCTTCACGTCCCCTGATATACAAAAGGTGTTTGTACTTGTAATCTATGTCAAACAAGATATATGTTTCTGTTGAGAAATCATTTTACTTACCTTTGACACAATCTAATGCATGCAGTCAGCTACTGTGTATTGTTAGTGCACAGTGGATTTAAATCCTGTTAGCTCAGTCATGTGCCCTCAGTGTACGCTGCATGCGTCATCCTCACGCACCTGACTAAAATGACCAACCCTAATGAAAATTCCATCTGAGGTTTTACACAACACCAAGACTACGTTGGGAAAGAACAGTTGGTGCAGTTTGCTTGAGCTCAGATTATGGAATGAGTGCCTCAGAAGCATAAAAGAGACTCAGGTGCCTAAGCAGCGCTCTCAAAAGCAACTTAGTCACTTTTGAAAATGGGAATTTGTTCTTTTACAGAAATTTTGTCCTTAAGCTACTTAACCAGGGTGTTTTCAAGTATTTTAGTATCAAAGAGTTAATGGTAAAGTTAAAATCCTGTTGTCATATATTCACATAAATAAGATAATGCTGTCTTATTTTCACAATTGCTGTTCTAGTTGAGTTTATGCTGTGTGTCCAGCTACCACTAGTGTTGCAATGGCATATGAAATGTGGATGAAACATTTGGAAGCTTCTTGCTCTTCCTTGATAAACAATTTGAAGGAATTTACCTTGCTCAATCTGAAGAGTCTTTCAGAAGTATTTTCCTCCATAAATTTGTTTTCCCAGTTTCCTTTGAAATAAACGGCATTTACCAAGACCAATACAGTGTTAGAATCAAGAGATCCTGTAGGCAGCAGGTCCTGAATTTTTCCTTCAAAATCAGACAAATAGGATTTTTGTGACATGTAACTGGACAATTTTGATTGTGCCTCATTAGCCAGCAAAAGTGTTTGCACTTGGGAGATTTGTCTTCCTGTATGCTTTTCTCAAAATGGCCTTTGAGGTATTTTTAGAATTGGTTTTAAATTTTTTAATTTATAGCAATTTTGGTAGTAGAGGATGCACTGGAAAGTGGATAAAGTGGGTGCGTTGGAATTGATTGCAAGTTCTGTGAAAGTGATTGCAAGTAGCTGGTGAACATGGAAGTAAAACCCTCGTTAATCAGTGTGGAGCCATTCCGTATCTACTTCTACTTCCCTCTGAACAGAAATAATTCAGTAGAGGCCATGACATGAAGAATTGATGGAAGGACCTTGTAAGGAGCAGAAGTTAGGCTTGGAAGGAGGCGTTCTTCAAGCTATTTAACTGCACTTTGCTCATCAGGTCCCCTGAGTTTCCCTCTATTATGAATCCGAGGCTGCAAAAGCAATATATGTAGAAAAGCAAATGATGTGGAAGTGAGAGAAGAAAAAAGCCATCAGAGTGCTACTTAACTTACTCTCAGTTTCATTTTCAACCCAGGAATTGATCTGCTTTCTGGCTTGTTCTGCATCTGTCTTGAAGTTTACCACTTGTGGCTTTGCTTTATAATACCTTGTAACGAGCTGTAAGAATTTCTGAAAGATAGAATTGGAAAATGTGTGCTTATTTATTGAAATTTAGGTTACAAAAATGGTAGAAAGGATCACTTCATCAGATTATACAATCTACTAATACATAATTGAAAAAGATAAAATTCATTTGGAATTAAACTGCACTTAAGGTCTTATATATTCTATGCTAAATATGAAGTATAAATATGAAGTAAGGACTGAACAAAATTCAGAATTTGTGCCTTATGGAGACTGATACTTCAAAGTTTTGTGTGTTAGAAATTCAAAATGCAAAACTGTAATTTTGAAATATCTCATGACACAAACATTCCTCAAAAGTTTGTTTTGGATTTCTCAAAATGATCCTTTTGATAATGTCAAAGTACTTTTTTCTGTTTTTTTGAGGTAGAGTCCTGTACAAGAGAAAAGAATAGTCTAATATAAAGTTGAAACAAGGTATTTAGATTGGATTAGAGTCAATGAAGCTGCAAAGAGTTTGTGAGGACAATAGAGGGTCAGGTATAAAAAGAATGTGATGTAAGATAAAGTTATCGGAAAAAAGTTGAATTAAATTTTGCATTACTGTCTTCTGTGAAAGAGTTCATAGAGGTTCTCGGTGGGAAATTCTCTAGATCGGTCTCAGAGATGCATACAAGAGATTATGGAGGAAATGAGCATAAGCATTTGCCAGGACTAATTAGTAATCACTCTGGAGATCTAAATGAACTCAAAGATGAAAGAATGGTACTGTCTCGGTTATAACCACCTTCCAGGAAACTGGAAGGTGATTTGTATGATGACATTTTTAAAAAAGATTTCAAAGACACAGGGAATTACAGACTTATAAGTTTACTGAGCAAACGAATAGAACATATAATAGGCAGTCTTACATCACCAATCTGTTGGAATTTTTTAAAAAGTGTCAGGAAGCATATGGGTTCAGCCAATGCAGTGTATCTAGATTACCAAAAGGCATTTGGTAAGACCGCTCACCAAAGGTTTTTGAAGAAGCTAAGCATCCATGGGACTATGGAAAAAGTGCTCATTTGTTTAAAAGACTGGAAACCACAGATAGGAGGAAATAGTGTTCACAGCGAAGTGACATTACCACTGAAGGTGCACAAGGATCTCTGCTGGAATCTGTGCTACAATATTCAGACTATAAAATAGAAATATAAATATTTATAATGAAATACAAATATTACAACATTTATAAATGATCCCATAAAAGGGTGAATGTATATAGGGTATATTAGTGTTTAGGAATGAGATCGTGAAACTATAATAGACAGTTGCATGAAAAAAAATGCAAATCTAGTTTTAGACATTGTAAGTAAAGAAATAGGGAACACAAGAGACAGTATCAGTATTCCACTCTGCAAAGCTCTGTGCTCCCATAGTTTGAATTCTTGTGCAGCTCTGGTCTCCCCATCTCAGCAATGATAGAGTATAAAAGATAAAGAGACATCTTTATCAAGGACAAGGGGACAAGGATGAGCACAAAAATGGAGAAGCTTCCATTAGAGGAAAAATGAACCAATAATGATGCCAGCAGGTGGCAGGTTCAAGAGAAACAGGAGCTTTGTACAGTTTGTTCAGCTCAGGAACTCTTGGGTGCTAAAGGCTGCAGTAAATCTAGAAGTCAAGCCAGCAAAATTCACAGAAGAAAAGCTCATGAAGAGCTATTAAAAAAAGCAATATTTAT